TTTAATACGCACACCAGTGCCATGTTTAGATGTTAAGTATATATACTCTGGCTTTTTCTTCTTCTTTTCTTCTATTATATAGTTTGGAAACAAGCAGTAGGCCTAAGACTCGCAATTTTAGCTATTGTAAAACAAACAATGACTTTGGAAAGCCAACAAGTATACAAAATAGACAACAAGACGCCGAAAGTCGAAAAAAAATTGTTCGCTCGCGTTAATCGCTTTGATCAGCCAATCAAAACGTGGTTCAAAATGTTCTTAAAATTGTTTTGTACAAAAGTGCAAGGTTTGCAAGGTCGAGGAACAAATTTCAAACAGTATAAAACTGAATCAACTGACAAAAGCCAAATACAACTCACAGTTTTTGCTATTGCATTCGACTCTTCGCATAAAGAAGCCAAAAATCTTTAAAGAAATATCCGTAAGTGAATTTAAGTGAATGAGAAACTCAGCACGATGTGAAAATGAAAAGTTTGATATAGATTTGCAGCAACGAATGGACCAGCAAACTCCAAATAAAAACAACAACAAACTTTATTGCAAAAGCTTAGTGGAATTCACAAGTTAGATAAAGCTTCAAAAGTTTACAAAGGCCTAGCAACAGCTGACGTAGAGGTAAGAAATTTCAAGAAAATCCGGTTTTCTCAGGTTAAATTAAAGGTTATCCTACGGATAGTTAAACGCGGTACTAAACGGGCTTCATACAACGCAATTTTATCGGCCGTTTAACTATCCGCTGGATAAGAAATTTATACGCTGGATAGCGGCTAAACACCGTTTAAGTTAAACGCCTTTGATACAACCGGCCCCAGCTGTATTATTGCTAAACATGCCGTTTTTGAGAATTTGGTTTACAACAATCACGCCATCAGCCCATTGAAAACATTAGGTCACGTCAGCTAGTTTCCTATCCATTTATTTTATTATCCATGGCACAGAATAAAGACATACAGAAGTGTAACTTCCATTACAAAACCGTAAGGCCTTTTTTACCGAAATAGCTGGCGGCTATGTTCTTAGCAAGTGCCCTAAAGAGAGGCATTCACCCCCCTGGAATATTAAATTTTCAACATGTTTTCAGGGGGGTGACTGCCTCTCTTTAGGGCACTTGCTAAGAACATGGCGGACTGAAAAAATCCCTTACGCACTTTTAATAAGAAGATACACTTCTGTATGTCTTTATTCTGTGTCCATGGTGATGTAAATGAGAGAAATTTGCTGAACTAACTGCCTCGTGTAGTTCAGCTATGACGGCTATTTCGGCTATGACATTTTCGGAAATCTACCATAGATATCTTATATACACTAGATAGTGCATCTAATTATTCTGCAATTCAAAAATTGAAGCCATGAATGCAGACTCGGGATATTCCCATGAAATGAGAAGACTCGTATGTTTTCTATTTCTTAAACAGGGAACTTGAACATTAAGTTAATCTTATTCCAAATACATTTTCAAACTATTCAAATGATTTAAGAATTTATTAGCGAGTGGGAAACTCCAACATGGCCGCCATCTATTCAAATGGGGGTAACCGCTGGAATATTCTTAGCTTCAATTTTACTAAAAGAGATGCGCCATCTAGTGTATATAAGATATCTATGAAATCTACTCAAAGAGCAACGTCGTTGATAAGATCGTTTCCATTTCTCTCCATTGTCTTCGTTTTGAGCAAAGTCACGTGAAGAAGCTATGGGTTCTCATTGGCTAGTTAATTCAAGCATACAGCACAAAGTCTAAGCTCGCAATATCCGCAGACGACGTTGAGATTTTTTCCTCGCGAGGTGAAAAATATCAAACATGATAGATATTTCTGTCAAGGCCTCAAGAGGCTAAATCCTTGCGCCACGCGAGGGGGTTAGCTCAGAAAGTTTCTGTCGTGTCGCGGGCAGGCTTTGCTCTAAAGGTACTGTAGTGGACCAATATGCTCAGTGACACTACATACAGTAAGTGTCACTGAGCACTATCGTGTATCAGATGATGGTCAACTGGTTGTTACCAGAATATCTCAACGTAGTGCTAGTAGAGTTGAACGTCTTCAGCTGTCCTGACTAGTCAACGTTGTAACACCATTTGTAAAGCCTGATTTACACCGATCAAAGTTTCTGTACGTGATCAAATTCAGAATATGTAAGAAATGTTTGAGGGAACACTGACTCAGTGTTAAGCACAGAAACTTCGGTGTAACCCAGGCTTAACACTTGTCTATTCTGTAACCAGGTGATTTGACAAACTGACAATTTCAGAGAATTTCCTTGCAAGGTCATGAGTGCTTTAGCAATAAAAAGTCTATTCTTAATTTCTAATATGTGTGTATGTTTATTTCCAGACGCCAGTCTCTTCGACACAGACTCTCGATGCAACTCCTACTTCAGGAAAGGTTACTGCGACATGAAACCTCATCAAGGCTTTATGTTAAAAAGATGTAAATACAGTTGTCGTAATACAATACGTAGCGGTATCATGTCCCCCGGCCGTGGAAACTTCCAGCGGAACAACCCCCCTGCGCAGCAAGCCCAACAACATCAAGGGTACTGGAACCAACAACAAGCTGACAACCACCAGCAATATGGCCAACAATACCCGCAACAATATGGCCAGCAGTACGCTCAAAATTATGGTCAGCAGCATGATCAACAGCAGGCTCAGAATAATGGTCAGCAGCAGTATCCTCAGCAATATGCGCAACAAAATGATGCGCAGCCACAACAGACCGCTGGTCAAGGTCAACAACAACCGCAGGCTCAGCAACAACCGCAGGCTCAGCAACAGACCTCTGATCAGCAGCAACCGCAGGCTCAGCAACAGACATCTGATCAACAACAACCGCAGACTCAGCCACAGGGAACCCAATCATTGGCAGATCTGCCGGTTCAGGTGCAAGCTATGTCCTCACGGAAACATAAATTGGAAAAGAAAGGAAAACATCATCACGATGACATGGATGATGATGATGCAGTCAACGATACTGATGATGATATGGATTAAATATTGACTTTGTGATCTCTAATAATGATGATATATCGATTAATTATTGATCACGTGATCTCCGATAAAGATTATAAGATGGAATAGCTGATGTGTAGTCTTCAATAGTTATGATCAAATTCGGATTAAGTACATGATGGAGTATACGAACTGTAAGAGTAAACTTGAACAATAAAAAGTTATTTTGTAAATAGTTAATATTTAACGTGCAATTGTAGTTTGGATACCGAATAAAAACAGCTTTTCGGTGTTTCGTAATTTTGTGCGTTTTGTATTTTTTTACTCTTGCAAGCTTTGCAAAACGTTCAGTAGCAATTAGGAAACGTAGGTTTCTTGTCTCAGACCAAAGTAAAATCGGTGAAAATGTGAACCTCTTTCATAAGACTTCGATCGAATAATTAAAAGCACAGGTTATAGTTCTATGACGTGCGCAAATAACGCGCGCCGTTTTAATTAAAACGTTATGGTCTGGATGGCATAAATATAGTGTACTACGGCCTTCTCATTTTAACTTTATAAGATTTGATTTTTGTTAAATATTTTGCTCAAGACCTTGACTATGCAATGAAGTCAAATTTGAGAGATGTAAGATAGCTGTAAAATTTATCTCTCTGGCTCTGTGCCGGTTCACAATGATGCCATTCTTCCCAGCGGACTGGCTTTTTTATGGAACAGGTGTTGTCACGCTTTAACAGTTCACGAAAAACAAACGGAAGGCCAAAGACCAAATATTATTTATCCATAGAAATCCTGTAAAAGGTGAGAAAATATTGTACGTAGTTCATTGTACTTCTAATATTAACTGATTACTGTAGTCCTAAGACGATTTACCTTCGTAATTTATCATCATAGCTTGCTACAGTTTGTTAAATGTGTGCTAATTAACAAAACAAAAATATTGAAGCATTGCATATTATTTAACGTGTATCCCTTGCTTTCTACGTGACAATGATTGATGTCATCTGGTTGCACATTCTACACTATATATTTTATTATGTGTTTACAATCCCTAGATAAAATGTTTCATGATTTACTATATATGTAATGTAAAAAAAGAGGGAACGTTATAAGTTATGATTTGGAAGGGTTCATGTTTATGATTACTGATTTATCGGTCCAGTACTCTGTAGTATCCATCGCACCTCACGTGCGAGAATAACGCATGTATCAGTGTTTCCATGGAGATCATTTTGGTTTTGTCTTTGATAGTTACTTCAAGAAGTGACAGTGGGGTTGCCGAATCGTGTGCAGGGCCAGAGGGCAGTAACACCTGTAGGCATTCAAAGTCATATCAGTTAGATGCATGATTATAGCACCCAATACATTCGAATTCACAAGATTATAAGCATAATTTGGCAGTTGTCCCTGCTGTCCCCTCCCATCTCCCCTTTGCGTACGGCCCTGTCCTTAACCCTACTGTTCGCGCAGATTATATAACCTTAATTTCGAACTCCTAAAATTTCCAAGAGTGTTTGGCACAACAAGTAAAGGATAATGTCAGAATGATGTTTTCTTTATACAGTAGTTCACATTGACTTGTTATTTTACGGTTGTTCTGTTTTACTTTCAGACTACGAAATCATGAAAGTATCGCTTGCTTTTCTTCTTATTGTCTGCATATTGGTAATATCAGGTACGCTGGGTTTGCCATATCGATATAAAATGTGTGTCGAATGTTCTGCATTGTATTCAATTTTAGGTATACTTTTCCTCCATTGCCTACTTTCAAACCGAGAGAGCCTGGGTACAAGGTCCACATAGCAAGAAAAAGCACATTGACCTAATAATGACCTTTACAAACTCCAAAATGTACTAAGACGTGTACGATCGTCCGGACAAATGTCCGGAAATCCATACATTTCTTAATAAATTTTTTTGTTAAATGGCTGTATCTTGATTAATTTGTAAAGGTCAATGTGCTCTTTCAATGGGTCTTGTGTTGATTTATTCTCGTACCCAGAGCCCTTCTTACGGCGGTCAACGGACGCGATGAGGGGTTCTGGGCCAAATCCATATCAAACTGGCATCTGATTGGCTACAACGAAGGTTATTGTTCTAATACCGGATATGTTCTTTTACCATGTTTTTATGGTATCCGGTTTTGGATTTTGCCAGAGCCCCTCGTCGTACCGCGCGTAAGAAGGGCTCTGGGTACGAGAATGGTGTTGATTGTCTCGATATTTGGGGACTCGTACCCAGGCTTTCTCGGTTTGAAAGTAGGCAATATATGTATGTTTGCGTAAGTTTGCGTACGTTGACATTTCCTATTTTGATTCGATCCAGTAGTCTCAGGTAAAAGAAAATGCAAGAATATATCAAAAGATTGTGAAAAGAAAGCAAAACAAGGATGGTGTAGCAAGAATCAGTCTTACGCAGCCATGGGAAGAAAATGTCAGCTTGCTTGTAACATGTGCGACAAAAGTAAGTCAGGAGTTTTGTGTAATATGTTAGAACCACTGAGCTTCAGATATATCTGGAGTGAGAACTTGAGTCCAAAAAATGAAGCCAAGGATGGAGCTACGTCAGTTTCAGTCCCTTCCTATTGTTTTTGTCTGCGCGGTCTGCAAGAGCTACTGTGTCCAAATTTACAATAGTAAATTATCAGTAATTGGCTTTTCAGGCTGTTGTGGATTTAGTTGCGAATTTATCATATTGATAATTTTGGACTGACGTGCTTAACAATTTACTCGTATAGTAAATTCAAAGGTGGAGCTCGTGCTGACTATTTTATTTACAACAATTGTTTACAACAATTGACCATTTGCGTAATAGACTAAATTTTGATCTAAACAAGTCTAGACAAAAATTTCATCACAGCTTGAAAGAGCATCACAAAATTAGTAATATTCCAAAGTTTCGTTGCGAAATGTTGTAAAATGCGGAAAATATAG